GGAATGAAACCAGATAAGATATTTATCTCACAAGTTTGGGGGGCCTTTTCATGCAGTCTCAGAAGACTGAAGTGTAACTGCTGAGCACTTCTTTAATCACTTCTCACAAGCGCAATAAAGACCAAGCTCAGTGGAGCATATTATTAGACAGATAATAACCCTTACCCAGCCAAGATCTAAATACTGAAGTCATCAGACACAAGATGAGTGTCTGGGAAGTTTTGGGTTGCCTTTTTAAAAAAAAAAAACAACCAACACAAAACACACACAAAAAACAGAAAATGGTCTATATGCCCCACAAAAGACTATCCAAACGTGACATGAAATTCATACCACCACAACAGCTCATCTGGCTCTGATTCCGAGGACTGTGCTTTTTACTAGTAACATGCAGAATAGGGACCAGATATTGCTCCCCTGTGTACCAGCAGAAATTTTGTCGGGAATTCAGAAGGAAGCAATCCCAGCCTTTCTCCAAGAGGTACATGAAGGGACAACTGCTTGACAACTGTAGCTTGATTTCTGAGGGGGCCGGGGAGGAGGAAAGCAATAAAAAGCTGCAATGATGTTTAAATGGAGGTTTTTAAATGCACCAGGTGGTACAAAAATCAGAGGAAGTAACCCTTGGAAGATCTATTGAGCTACACAAGAACATAACATAACCAAATCACTCCTTCAGCAGAGAAGAGAACCAACTAAATTTGCTTCAGACAGACTGTGTTTCAGTATTGCTCCCATGCCCCTCCTGGTAGCTTCCGTCTTCTCAGATTCTTTTAAAATGTAACATGTTGAGCCTGTGCATTTTTTTTTTCCCTGCCAAAAATAATCAACCTGAAAAAAATCCTTCTGAAATCTCAAATCTGCACAGTTTTAGTCACCCTTCTGATTACCCTTTTGTGCAGCCAGACTGTTCATCAGTGTTATTCTGACAAAAAAAGTTGTCTATGACTAAAACAGAAAAGTACACACAAATTACTTCACTTGCCCGCCCCTACAAAACCCACCATCCAAAAATCTTATCACAGAAAATAATATAATTAGGCTGTACCCTTCTGATGTACACTGAACTGCTGCTCTCAACGATCACAGCCACCCTTCAAAGCCTCCAAGATAAAAAGAATCTTATCATTCAAATTATTACTTCTTAGGGATGCTCTTATCAAAGTTTGAAGGAAAATTCTAAAAACAGCAGTGATATGAAACCAGGACTGAGCCATATTTGAAATGACACTAGATTTTCTGCCAATTGGCCAATTCACAACTCAAAAAAGCAAGTGTAGATGAAGACAAAGCTGTTGGCTCTCATAACCTTTACAATATCACAGTAAAAATCTCAACTGTCTCACATATTTATACTAAATGGCAGGTCTAAAATTGAGATTTGTAATTTCACAGCATCAAAATCATCACAGATGGCTACAGTCTATTGCTTCTTTAATCTGTCTTTTCTCCTCTCCTGCTTGCTTCCCCCCCTCCTCCTTTGAGTTAAGAAGATATGTGTTTTATCGTAAGGAAATAGTAACTAAATCCAAACCACATTATATTACTATATAACAAACCAATTTACATAACAATGATGCACACAAGTGAAGTTTAACACTATTTTATGTCTCAGCTTTGCCCTAAAGCACTAATTAGCTTAGCCTTGAGATGTGCCACTAGCTGGAACAGCCATGTTCCATCAACAATATTCCACATTTAAGTGGGTAGCCATTAACGCAGGAAGTTTGGGGGGAGAATAAATAATAAGGAGAAAAAAACCAAGCAGCGTTTTTTTTCAGCATCAAGTTCACAGCTACAAATTCAGCTGTAAGCAAAGAATCAGTGCTCACCTAATATTTCTACTGATCAGAACCAATTTTGTGGAACCACTCCTGTGACACATCTTTGAAGCTTCCCAAATAAATATGTATTAAATATTTGGCTCCTTTCCCTTCCTGACCTGGGTTTTTGCATGCATGCATGCAAACACACTCACACACACACATATATATATATATGGATGCTCAGGAAGACAATTATCATCAATAAAGTCAGCTGGAAAAAAAATAGAAGTCAGAGGAAGGGCAGTTTTTTGTCATCATATTCAAACATCTCCATATCACTGACACAATTTAAAAAAAATCCTGTTCAAGGTCAGAGAGTCATTAACTCCCACTATAGGAAGCACTGTAGATGTGAAGTGGCTTCTCATTATGCTTCCCACACACACACATCAAAAATTAAGCAAAAGCAACTCAAGGAAAATGTATTATTTAAAAGTCAGAAGGTTGAGGGAACTTGACGCAGCTTTTAGGGCAACCCAAGCTCCAGCTGCTCCATCCCAGCACTGTGCAGCAGGGTGCAGGTCCCAGGACAGGACAGGGAGCTCCGACACCTCCCATGGCTCTCCCAACAAGTACAGAGCCCCGATCCAGTGGCCTAAACTATTTCTGCCCACCGAGCTTTTGTCAAACATTTAAGATCTTAATCAATCCTAAGTCTGACCCTCAGATCACAGGGGAAGATGGATGAGGAAACGGACAACCTCTGACCTTCCCTTGTATTTGTCCTGCTACAGTCAACCTATTGAAAAACAACTGAGGTGGAACCTGCTCACCAGCTCCAGTCCCAGCCCAGTACCCTTTTACAGCCTTTCCCAAACTCAAAGTCTCTCCCCCTGCCTGCAATCCTCTGTACCAAAACCACAGGAATCCTCCTCACTTCATCCTCCTCCTCCTCTCCAAAAACCTGCCGGAGCAGAACATTTGCTGAACTATGAAGTTAAGTGGGGTAGAAAAGGGGAAGCTTCATTCAGCAGTGTCAAAGGCCAAACTGCTTTAACGGCCTCACTAGAAACCGGAGAGCAAGCTGCATAGTTCTGGTAAACTTCATGAATTCATGAAGAGGAGCTTCCCAGTAAACTGTTCTGGCTGAAGAATGGCAAATGTGAGAAAAGGAAACCACAAATAACCGCTGATGAAATGGGTTTAGCACTTTCAAATTACATGCTGGCTCAAATCCTCTCAAAATGACTAGTACAGGCCAACTTCACTCTGGAGAGCCCAAGAAACAGAACGTTTCCATCTCCTTTGTAAATACGGTATTGCCTGATCTTCCTTTTACTCGGGAAACAGAGAATTGGGTCTCTTGAGCCCAGCCTTCCCTTGGTGCAGCTGAGAGATGGGAGGTAAGCTGACATTCATCCTCAAGATCTAGTTCAACATCACAAAAATAAATTAAAAAAAGCATCCCACTATCACTGCTGCCCACCAGCAAAGCCTCAAGAGATTTCCCTTGAGCAACACAGGATTTGTTAGGCAATTGTCTTATCACATCTGGGCCACTGACACTGAAAAATGGTAGATCTGTGTCAGAGTGCCCCAGTACCGGCCCAACAGGCCTTTAGGAGAAGGCAGAATAATTCCTGTACAATAAACCAAGATGCTTTCCCCCCTGCCATTCACTTCCTTCTGTGACAACCCACGCTGTAAAGGTGTCCAGCAGCTTTGCCCAGAAGTTACCAAGCTATTAGAAAGTAACAGCATCTCCCCAGCCACCAGTGGCTCTCCCCAGCAGCACCACAGCCACATGTTCACATGTTTAACAATACACAGGTTTTCAGGTTTCCACCTCACAAGGTTCCAGCAAAACAGAGCAACTCACCCCAGACAGGATGCCCTGTCATCATGCTGCTCATCTTGCCAGTTCTCTCTACAGCCCATGGTAACTCTGTTGCAAATACGGCACACTTAGGCTTTCTCCATAAAGCAAAAACACTAGAAAGAAAAGCTGAAGTTTATACTTAGTGCTTCTTTCCTGCTAAAGCTTAATTCAGTGGATAATAATGAACTTCATATTGACTGTAAATTATCATTTAAAAGAAATCAAGTAGGACATTCAAAAGATGCTGTTCTCTTAGAAGTCTAGCACAAAAGCAGTCAGTTACTTGTTTTGCTATCTCATTCTCTGCCTCAAAATGAAAAAAAAAAAAGACCTAGTGGAAAACACACCAAGATGATGTGAAGCAAAATCATCTGGCTCCAAAGAACCTTTTCCAAAAACATGGGTCCAAATCCACTACGGAGTTGAACGCCTTCAACTCAGCAGCCACCAAAATTAAGCACACTGACCTGTGCAAGAATCCATTTAAGTTTGATCTTCATTTATGCTTATATGAGCAAAGGTTTAGAAGCGGAGACTAAAGATATTCTATTTATAAACTCTCTTCTCTCCTTCCCTAACCTTTTACAACTACTTTTTTCTACAAAGGGGAGGTAAAGAAAACACAGGTTTTGAGGTTTTTTTTCTTTTTAGGCTACTCTGTTTTTTATACAAGCTTTAATCCCTAATTCTGCAGCACACAGGATGGTGTGTGTAGAAGGGTGGGGTGGAGACTTTTAGCATTTCTAAGAGTATCCTAGCACCTCTATTATTAAGCTGACAATGGAGACCCTCTGAGAAATGAAAATATTTAACAAAGGCAGCAGTGTCAAATATCAAAGGGTTATTTCGTGCTAAAAATTTGCAACAAGTAAAACACCAAAGACTTCCCCTTCCCAAAGTGGGGAAGTAATCCAGCCAAAACTCCTGATTCCCCCCTCCCCGACTGGTTCTTACCCCACTGCATTACCCAAAGGAGACTTTGCCAGAACTTCCTGCACTTAAGAAAGTTCACTTCAAATAAAGCTGTAAAGGTTTGTCTCTTTAAACAACAGTAGCTCAACTGCATTGTTTTGCAGTCATTCACATTTTGGTGACTATCGTGAGCCAATTCAAATTTAGGCGCCTGCTAGAAAATGTGTTTCACCTTCTGCCTATTATGGCAGTATCATTTGTTTTGCATTACATAATTCTTAGCCTTGCCACCTGGAGCTATTGGACTTCTTCATTAAACCCCTCTGTCCCACCACATCCCACAGGGGCTGCTAATTACTGGCTTTACTCCATTTACTCTCATCTCCAATTCAATTATGCATTCAACTAAGCCCTAATGAAGAGTACAATATGGCTCATCCTACCTTGGCATTCACCATTACGTTCTTCATAGCCAGCATTGCACAGACAGTTGCCAATGGGCACCAGCCATTCACCATCTGCCCCACAGTACATTTTTGGCACATCCTTCTCTTCCGAGTTGTTGACGCAGGAGCCGCGAACCTCCACCAGAGAGGATGTATCAGCCCCAGTAATGGTGTCTGGAAACTGTGCCAGGTTTCGAACTGTCAACGGGCACTTCTTATAGAAGACACGAACAGACACCAAAGCAATGCAGGCACCGACATCCTGAAAAGCCAAGTAAAACCCCTTCTTGCTGAGTGGTCCCACATCCCGTATCTCTGTATTCAGCTTCATGATCCTGTCACCAATGTCCACTTGGGTGAAGCTCTCATCGGCAGCGATGGTGTCGATCTTGGCAAACTGGCTCTCTCGAATAAAACGTTCCTTATCATTGTTTGATTCATAGTAATAAAGGTTGAAAGTCTCTTTGCAAGTTCCCATGACACCTGGCAGGCTGTTGCAGTCCCTTAGCGTGAACTTGATTTCAATATACACCCTCTGAGCCCCCTCACGGGGAATCCAATCAGTTCGTAACCAGTTATTCTGACTGGGCTCCATCACATTACAGACTTGATAGGTGCGGATCGGAGTGTTCTTCTCATCCATAATGCTTACTTCCTCCCACTACAAAGAGGAAAAAAGGAAGAAAAATACATTGGCATTAAAAGGAACAACAGGGCTTCACAGCAAACACAACCTGCAATTCCACAACTAACGTGGAGATTGCATTTCTTCCATTATAGGAAAACAAACGAAAAAGAAAACCACCCAGCAGAGCAGGCCATAGCTGGGACCTCTACTACTTGGACATTAAAAGAAGAATCTGTTCAGGAGAAACAAGCTCCAAATCAAGTAGCACCTCGAGGAGCAAGCATGTGTTTTAAAGGCCCTCTGAACCAAGCCAAGAATGCTCTATTGACTTACTATGTTTATTTGCACTACAGTTCAGCCCACAGGACCCTGCCTAGGTCAGGGCTACATGGAGCCCTGCCACTGCGGTGTTTCCCTGGTGGGGGACGAGGCAGGCAGTGCATGGAGCCCACCTTGCACGTGGGAATAGCAAACAGTGAGACCACACGACTTAGTCGCACAAAAAGCACAGGGCAGAGAGAGTAACAGCCGTATCTCTGGCATCACTACCACATATTTTGAACTCTTGAATCACCCCTTATTATTTCTTTAAGCTGCCAACTAATTCCCTGGGCTAGCAATATCCCAGACACACTCAGCAAATAGTCTTTACTTAGGAGCTAGGCAGAAATAGCTGTCTATAGAGAACGGGGTCTCTGACTTGGGTGGCATTAGAAGATGGAAGGACCAGTAAGGAGGCAACATCATCAGTCTACCAACAACACTGCCATAACTTTGCTATCCAGACAAAGTTTCTTGTTAGTGGGAAGGTGGGAAGAGAAGGAATACTGCACATTGTGTCCTAGAGGAAATGTCAGGAAATAGCTGAAGTCATATTCTCAAAAACCCAAAAAGGTTAGCAGAGAGGGTGAAAGCTGGAAGATCAGGTTAGCTGCATGGTTTAAAACCCTCACACCCCTCAAGTCAAGTTCAGGCATCTTCAGAAGTGCCAAACTAACAGGCAACATAATTATGAAACAGAAACAACACATGCAATCCAAGGAAGGTACAAAAAAAAAAAAAAAAGAGATCCGGCCCTAATTCAGTAGTTTGGCATGATGAACTTATAAAAGAAAAGCATGCATAACCAACAGTTTTGAAAAAAATTGTTTTAAGTAGAAGAAAGTTTATCACAGTGCTCTCCTGGTAGGGAGTGAGGGGGAAGCAAGGGCATTATGGAGAAACATCTTTCAAGCAAAAAACCCATAGGATTTCAGCATCAGAAAAATCCTTCTTTAAAATATAATGTATTAGATAATGATATACTGCCAGGGTTTGCATGCAATGCAATTAAGCATATATAAAATTACTCTTGGAAAACAGAAGTAACTTTAAAGAGACTTCCCAGAAGTGCTTTTCAGAACTACTGAAGCCGTGGTTTTGATAAACAGAAACCTTAACATTAAGGGGCTTCTTGTATAACATCCTGCATTCTTCTCACAAGGATGGCTCTTATGCAAGTGACTTTTACTTAAAAAGATTCCATCTTAGCAGAATCCGTTTATAAAATGACAGTAGTTAGCACCATGAGTCACTAGGAGCAGAAAGAGTAATATTTTATTTGCTGCCTAGAGATAACTGCAAATTAAAATGAAGGGGGGATCAATACTCAGCATGTCACTCCTTTTCACAGAAACGGAAAAAATAAATCCTAAAAAGTCATCTATCAATGTGAAGTGTAACATGGTGTTAGTAAGAAGACAGAGTTGTTTAATTTACAGCTGCCACAGAGCTAGTTTACTGTTACAATATTGTCTTTATGATCCATCACCTTCCATTCTGCTTATCTTCAGACTGTCTGCACTACCTATACTGCGTGCAGTACAAAGAGAAAGGAAGAAGCAGAGGGAAATAATACTTGTTGATGGGATTTCCTTCAGTACATTTATACAATGGAGGATGCTGCTAAAGGATTCAACAAAGAGACCGCCGAGGTCAACAGACAGACTGCAACTAAATTCAGCAAGTTTCAGATCAGGTTCTCAACACGCCCCTGTCTCCTGACAAACACGCAAATATATAGAGCTGGTTTTGTTATTTCATAACCACAGGTACACAAAACAAACCTAACTGTGTCTTACTGCCAGAGCTGAAAATAACTACAGCCCCAAATTTCCAGCCACTGTAAATGATTTGTAACCTTAAGTATGTGGTCAAAGCTGTAACTTTTTTCTTTCAAGCTGAAATTAACTTTTATAATTCAACTCTTCCCACGGTTTAATGATGCAGACTAAAACATTCTGGGTGCAAAACCTGCTTTTCAACTGTGAAATGCAAGAGTAAATCATTAATTACACTTATAATGCAATTCATTAATTCCTCCAGGGCTACTATATATTTGATTACTGCTAGTCACTGCTAAATCACTATGTTTATCTCCAGCCCTTCTTATCCACACAACCCTCACACCTCACGAACCACACTGTATAGATCTAGAAAAATCAGCTTTTTTAACAGACATTAAGGTACACACAGTTAAAGAAAAACTAGCACTGAAGGACAGAATCTTCCCAAGAAGATAAGGTTCATTTCTGCTGCTTGAAATAAACCTGCAGCATATGAAGTTAAAATAAATGCTTTCCAAGCACTGTATCTCAGAGACAGACCATGTACTCTTAAATTTTTCACTACTGGCTTAAAAATAGAACACACATATGTAGGTTTAGTGAAACGAATCACGTCCACAATAAGAGCACACATTTTCTTCTCAAGCTTGCATGGCGCTTTCAGAGAAAACACGGTGAGAAAGGGGGAATCCAGCAGCCATGAATAATATACAGCTGTCCTCTGATTATCAATGCCACTACTAACTTATTAAAACTTGTATTTTAGGTCTTATTTTAATATACAGCGCAGATATCCCTTGGAGAGCCATATGAAAGACCCTGTGTCATTAACTGACCTTTCCAGGGTATAGGATTAACAAGGAAGCCCAACTCTCGCCGAGATAGAGCTGTACCTTTCCACAGTCAAAAGATGAGGGCAATTGCCGGCAATCAGCAGTGAATGTGCACCGTCAGCCCTGCCAGAGGCCTGCCAATCACCTCCCCACTCTTCGAAAAACCGAGTTTCGGGGACAGCACAGTGTGCTGAGGCAGAGCACAAGCCAGGACTGTAGTCAAGTTCACCCAGAACAACAATGGGGGAGCAAAACAATCCCCCATTCTCCCATGTTATGGTTATTCACAGCTTATGCATAATGCATCACAAACCAACACAACCTCGGATTCCTTCCACTCACTGCTGTTTCCTTAGCTCTGTTTCTCCTAATTACAAATGGGAACGCACACAAAAAAGTGAATTTGTAGGTTTCGTGAAGAATCCAGTGCTTTGTTGTGCACAGGTCTTGGTCTTTCAGCACTTTTATTTTTCAATCAGTTTGACTACTTAAGCATACTAAGCTGCTTTGCTCATTTAATATTAAAAGAATTTGAGGGGGGAGTCGATATATATTAGTGTTTTGTGTGCATTGCTAGCATTTTTCTTAAATTGTTCACTTCAAAGAAAAAGCCTTTCTAATTGCTTATTAAAGAAAAAAAAAAACACACAAAAACAAAAACCAAGAGATCCCACCAACTCCAGAGTCCAGCGTTCTCAGAAGTTTCCCACAGAGGCCCTGGGCACCCTGCAGGATGGGGCACAGATGAGGGAGCAGCAAGGTGCCTATCCACTAATATAAAGCTAAATTAGTAGAGATACCTTGCCTGCAGCTCACTAAGCAAAGGGGCTCTAAGCCCCAGTGTTGGATGTGTGATTCTTTTCATGTCATCACATCACCATACAGGCAGTGAATTCAAGCAATCTTCTCTTAGAACGGTCTCTGAAAAGTACATGAAAAGAAACTCCAAGGAATCACCTTCGAGCACTGGGTGCTTCAGTTTATCTGTTCAGACACCAAAACATACGATGTTTACACACTGAAATAGGACAACTGCCCCATCACACCAAAAGGTTGTGTTGTATATTGATCCCTTTCATCCAGAAATAGAACTGCAATTGCCCTGAACATCTCCCAGCCGAGACAGCCCATAGATATAATAACTGCAGTCAAGAATCCCAGTTCAGTCGCCAGATCACATTTCTTGTCGGTATTTCAGTTTTAAATAGGCATCTAAGACCAGGCCTCAACGAATCTCCTAATTCTGAAACCTCTTTTCTACCCTTTTGGTTTCCACTTCTTCCATGACAGAACTATCCAAAGGGAGTATAGAGTTTCTCCAACAAACAGTAATTCACTGGGTAAGCCAGGGAAGAAACCCGACCTCCTCACCACAATCAACAATAAGGGAGCCATTAGGATTCTCTGAAAGTTACTAATCACCCCCTTTACCCTTTTGATCAGATAGCGGTTTAAAAACTTACCCCTCCTTCCAGGGGACTTGCTATCCACCCCAGTTCTCCCTGAACTGATCTGGAATCCAGCAAGGTAACTGCAGAAAAATACAAATAAAATAGATTAAATTCCAGCTGCCAAAAGGCAGTATTAAAAGAAATCGTTTACGCGAGCGTTTCCATATGTGCGGAGCACGATCGCATCCACCTTCCCCTTGAAATGTTACTTCCAACTGCGCCAGTACCTTAAATAATGTGAAACTCTGCCGCAGCTCCG